TTGGGCCAAGGGAAGATAAGCTTGTTGAATTTAAAGCACTAGAATTCTTTGCAGACTTACTAGTGTTATCTAGGTTCACTTACAGACATAAAATCTATCATCTGAAATTGATTTTGGTAAGAAAAACAACCCTTTTTATTAGTTATCTTCAAAAAATTTTGGAAGCTATCTACTTAAGCTATTTGCTGTTACTTTATAGAACATGTCATGTAACATGTAGGATCTAGTCCTAAAAGAATATAAGAAAGAAGGTTGTTTTTTGTTTTTTTTTTTTTTCACTTGGTTCTTCATACATCTTCTCATTCACAAGACCTACCCCAAACACTGTTCTGCAGCTGATTATGTGCTTTTGAAGATTACGCCAAGTAGTGTCTTAGGTATGGGGTAGACTCTCTCTGTCTAAAGTTACAAATTAGCACATAAAAAAAGAAATTGTCAGGAAAATTAATTTAATTTTGCAGTTGAGGTCACTAAGAAGCATAAAGTAAGCCGCTGGCATTGCCAATCAAACACAACTGTTAACTTGCCTGAATTTAAAGCTAATGTGAAATCAGCAGTTAGAACCCCCTTTCTTTTCTGTTTCTCATTCAGGATTACAGACATTCATGTTGGGGAACAGACACAAAGGATCTCCTTCTACCTCACTGTCAGCATGCCAGGCAATATCAATGATACTGTGCCCAAAGCTGACGTGGAAAATGCCATCAGGTGAGATTTTGCTTGGGGGGGTGGGGTGGGAATCAAAACCAAATCAGCCAGGTGAAAGGGTGGAAGGGAAAGCAGTGCTCAAGTCAGCTGAGGCAGAAGGGGTGATAAAAAGTCAGTTCTGCTGTTAGTATGGAAATAGTGGGATGAGAGAAACTGTTATGACAGAAAGAAAACAGTCCATCTATCTGATGGTGTCCTGGACAACAGCCAATGTAAAATGCTTTAGGGGTCTTGTAAAGCTGCCATAACACACTGAACCACATCATGCTTTGCCAGAAAATATCACTGCTCAAACTTTAACAGGAACCATCTTATATTCTGAAATTCAGAGCACAGTAATGGTGTGTGCATGCACTTTTTTTTTTTTTTTTTGACCTCATTAATGATAATTCAGTGGAAGAATTATTTTTATCAAGAATTCCAGAATAATAAATTATTAGGAAGACAGTCAGATATATTGGATTATACAGAAAAGAAGACATCAGAACAGGAGGTAGTTCTACTTAAGGGTCAGTGAAGAGCTCTTTACAGCACAGTATGGCAGCACTATAAGTCACTGATGTAAAAACAACAAGTAAAACTGCAGCTCTGGGGATGGTCATGGATAACATACAGTGGGAAATTAAGAGGGCACAAATCTAAGTTGGTGAAGCAAAGGAGAAGAATATAGCTATAAAAGTCACTGGCTGGTTAGCACAAAATAGAGGAAGCAGAAGTTCAGGGCAAGGGAAGACACAGAAAAATACACCAGGGAAAGGGTTTTCAGGGCAGTGAAAAACAGGAATCAAAACTCTGGAAGACCGTAGGAAAGAAAGAGGTAAGAAGATGCCAAAGCTGTGGTTTTCTGTCACATATGCAATAAACTTATAGATGGACAAGAAACTTAAGGTAAAGAATGAGGGACAAAATGCAAATTGAGAGGGCGATCAGAAGGCTGTTGCCTCATTTTGATAAATGCTAAGACTGAGTTCAAGTGTTCATTCAGTGTCTGGCCATATCAGCTGAGCTGCAACTAATGAAGGGCTTAAGCTGCCATGGTTGTCATACCAGAATGAACATGGGTTTAGCAGTACCTCCTGTGCAGCCTTTTCAACTGAGCAGTTCAGGGGAGCCTTGGCACACTGGATATTTATAAAACAGCTGATAACTGTTTAATTTCCTTCCAATAAATGTGTGAAACTCTTTGAATTTGCTCTTGGTGGCAGGATGTCTCGGGGACGAATCAATGAGGCTTTCAGACTGGATGATAACACGCTGGAGTTTGTGGGCATACTTCCAACCCTGGCCACACCTTATGCACCACCAGTCACCATCTGGTTAATTATTTTTGGGGTGGTCATCAGCCTGATTGTCATTGGAGTTATTGTCTTGATCATCACTGGGCAGAGAGATCGCAAAAAGTGAGTAATATTTTTGATGCTATGATAACAACCAATGGGAGATAACCCTATGATTGCATCATCAGGGTGCTTACAAATAGACTGCCAAATCTAACTGAAGCATGTTAAGGAATTAAAGCTTATTATCCCCCTCCCATCAACAGTGATAACTAAAGGTTCAGCTCCCTGCCTTTCAGTGCACGACAGCTTTGTCAGCTTAGTGCAATTTCCCCATCAGCAGCAGTTTAACCAAGGCAGCTGGATGCTGTGGCTGCTGTGGTGTGGCCAGGCTTCTGCCAACCCTACTGCAAGATGGATGGTGTGGCCTGATGGGAACATAGTGCCTTCTCCAATGGCAGAGTTGCCCCCATTCATCAGCACCTGCAGTTTTCAACAATCTTGTTGGAGGTGATGTTATTTTCCCTAGATATTGCATTAACAGCAACATAGCTGGGTTGGTTTTCTATGTCTCTCCATTAATGGGGTTCCTAAGAATGCAGTAGGTTTGCTACAATTTCCCTTAAAACCAACACAATTCCTTCTATATAAGTATTCCCAGTTAAAACCAGTATCAATAGACGATTCAGAGGATCCAGAAGGACTTGTACAGATTAGGCGCTTCTAATATTAACGGAATTTTCATTACAGGAGAGCGAGAGAAAGTAGGACTGAAGCAGGATCAAACTGTGAAGAGGTGAATCCTTACAATGAAGTGGGAAAATGCAACATGGGTTTTGAAACACCTGAAGAGACACAAACATCATTCTAGAAGATGTGGGCACACTAAGGTTTTTGGTTTTGTTTTTGTTTTTTAATTTCTCAGTTAACAGTAGTGCCTAGCAAGGACCAAAACACTAGGGATCTCATCAAACATAATGTCTTCTGGTTGACTATTAATCTACTGCTTCACAAAAAGCAGCAACTAAATCTGCTGTTTATGCAGTAACTAGGAAACATGCCAAAGTTTAAGACATATATACATACACACACATGTCCTGTGGCTTTTCTATGAATTCTGTGCATAATATTACGTATTATTTGTGCTGTTTTTCATGTGTGCTGCATCCAACTTCTCTTTGTTCCCTCTATAATGAAATACAAAAACTTCGAAGTGTACAGTCATATACAGATCAAGACAGGCATACGAATAACTTGTATACTCCTGATGCCCAAGAAACTTATCTTTCCAGACAGAGGCCTCACGAGTGTATCTAAAAGACAAATAGAAAAAAAACCCTGACCATCAGAAGAATCTTAGTGATGAAGAACTCAATTTGATATGAAATAACTGCAATTTTTGCACCTTCAGGAAATCTGTATGAATGTAAAATCGATACTGGATGAAGACTAACAAGCACTGGAACTTTGTTAGGAAGTCATAGCATAAGTTATTTTTCTGTTTGCTTGATAAGCATTATAGACCAAACACCCCATGCTCCCTTAAAAAAAAACAAGCCAAACCAGAAGATCTGATCTCTGTGTTGTCATCTAAAATGGAATAAAATTCCTTAATACTAAATAAACAAAGGGCTGGTTTTGTTTGTTTGTTTGTTTTTTTCAGTACCTTTTCCATTGCCTCCACTATTACAAATATTGCATAAAAAATACTGCATACTAGAAAGACAAGTTGCCCTATTACATACACAGGGCAATAGACTGAGGCTTGGGACATTTAGGTTGCACTTGAAAAAGAACAGTTGTTCACAAAGAGGGTAATGTAACACTTAGAACAAGTTGCCTATTTCATGCTCTGAGAGGGGCTGTGGGATCTCCACATCCAGAAGTGTTCAGAGCTGAGGTAAATAAAGGTGTGGCTGATCAAGTAGTGGGGATAGGCCCACTTAGAGTGAGAAGTTTGGCTGGATGACCTCTAGAGGTCCCTTCCAGCCAACATTTTTATTATTCTGTCTTGTAGATCCCATGTCATAACAGCCACAATGCTGGTGTAGTTGTTCTGTACACACCTGGGTCACTGAAAAGCATAAGGTGTCTACTCAGTCCTGCATCCCGACAAAGAACCAGTAGCAAACACAAGCCTGCATGAAAAATATTCAGCAAATTCACAGGCTTTTAAACTCACAGACCTCCAAAATCATCAGAAACTGTAGAAAGCAGTGCAACCTATTCCTGAAAACATACAGCTGTACTCTGTGGGCTCATAAAACACTATCCTAATGCTTCACACTCATTTCTTGTTTAAAGAGACAAGACCCTTAAATGAGACAGTTAAAAATGGTAGGCAAATGATGCTGATCAACTGCAAACTAGACAGGAATGTAAAGGAATGAAAATAATTTTTCTTTAAGTTGCGCCCCTACACCACATGTCCCATTGACATAACATCCCCAAACCTTAGCACTTTAGCTGAACTTTTAAGGTAAATAATTCAACTATGTGCAATCTTCCCACTTACCATGCAGTAACAGGGAAAGGGAATGACAAAGCTGGAAACAATCAAGTAATGTAATTAATCATGCCAGCCATCTTCAGATCTCTTGTTAAGATTAACATTTCCATTAAGGCAATGCCTTTAATCCTGTGGCCTTCCAGGCTTGTGTAGATCCCCACAGTCATTTGCATGACCCCAAATGCTGCTTTCCCTCTAATACTCTTAGAGGCATCACACACTGAACCACCTCAAATAGAAGGAGAGAGGAGAGGACTGTTTCAGACCTTACTTTATTTTAAAATCCCTTTATTTTATACATATTGTATCAGCATTTTACAAATGTTAGCATTACGTTTAGACGCCTCAGTTATTGTTACATAGCTTCAGATGCATTTGGTATATCTAGACTTATTGAAGTTAGCACTAACTTGTGTATTGCTATGCACATTTGAAAGTTGAGTGTTCTTATTTAAGTGTTAACATCAGGAGTCACATTTCAGCTCATCAATGGTAAAAATATTTGGCTAAGCAATTATATTAACAGCATTTTCAATTGTCTTGAGTTTTTGCTCTTCAGGTTTTATGGAGGTAGCAAATTTACCATTTACTATTGCAATAGCTATGGAGCTTTGCATAAAACTTTTTTTCTCTATTTTTACCTGTAGCAGGAAGCAATAACACTCTAGTAAGCACCTCATACGTTGCTAAGTTGCAAATATTTTAGATATGTAGCTTAGAAGACATTCCAAATCAAATATACAGCCTGAGAGCTGAAACTAAAGTCAATAGTGCTGATAAACAAACTGATATAATATTTTACCAGTAGTAACTCCTAAGTAATTGAAAGCAAGACTAGAACTATTTATGTTGCTGTCACTTGCAGCACTTCTAAATTTGACTTCAGGCATCAGTTTCAAGTGATTACAAAATAAAAAACATATTCAGATGAGCTATGATAATCAGAAAACCTAACCAGCATATATTTCTCTGTTTACATTTCCAGTTAAGGCCAAAAATTGACAGCTTGGAAGCACTCAAAGAGTATACAAAATTGGTATATAATTCTCAGTGTCTGAGAAGTCTTTTGAAACAATGCTAACAAAATGAAATAAATTCTTCCATAGTATCGTTCCAAATTCTGTCACCCACGGAGTGTCACAAAATCTTTCTCCATACAATACTTGGTCAACTCCCTGATTAAATGAGAAGAACACTAATATATAGAATAATAAAGGTGGCAAATCTTAGGCAGATTTCAGATGTAGCTGTCATACAGAAGACAGCTACAGAAGCCTGATATGAAACCGGTATGCACAGTCATCTGCTTCTGAATCTTCTTTCTCAAGTTCTGCTGTCTTCTCTCAGTGCTTCAAAAAATGGCAAAAGCTGATAAAAGGCAGGGCGCTTTTCTGGTAGCTGAATGAAGCAGAGATGTTGGGTATGATTATTTAATTTTGAAATAATTCAGGAACTCTAATTTGCATTATTTTTTTTTTCTTGATTTTAGCATGCAGAAATTTGTAGAGACAGAGAAGACTATGAGGTGAAGAAAATTAAAGTTACTTTTTATATCTGTCTTATGTTGTGATAGTTTAATCTTTATTTGTATTAACGTGCCCTCAAATATAAGTTGTTTTTCCTCATTTTTCTGACAATTATATTAAAGTAAAACTCCAGCTTAGCTCAGCACCCAAATTTTAAAACATTAAAATTATGTGAGAACAATCTCATCCTGTATATTATGTTGATGTTGAAAGGTATTTTACTGTTATTTGCTTAAATACTGAAAAGAGGGGAACCAATCTTCCTTTATGCCCTGTTTCCTGTGCTAACAATGTCCTGAACTAGACTGCTCTATAGAAAGTACTACATACAAGCAATGGCTTTTGTCAGGGATATTTTCCACTACCAACGTTAGTTCAGCTATCAACAGGGACTCCTATTATTCCAGTTCCTCCAGCTTGTATGTGCAAATATACATACCTCATGCCAGCAGTTGTACATTATCTGGTAGGTGATGTCTGAAACCAGTTGTGGTCTATAAAGTCTGTATCCTTGAGAAACTTTCTCAATCACCTGCTTGTTATCATAAAGTTCATACGGCTGCTTTCCCAGAGTGAACACCTCCCACATTAAGATACCTGCAAAAATATTCACGGCAATGGGACTCAAGAAAAGAAAGTCAAGAAATGCAAGATAACCCCTTTTTCTTGGAACAAGACACACATGCAACATATAACCGATCAGATTCTTTACAGAGAATATTGTCCAAAGAAAAGTATGGAGGTGACTCACAAGTATGATTCTGTACCCAAATGTAAAACAACTTCTACTGCAGAAGAAGGTAAAGTTCAATGATATAGTTATAAAATATATTTAATGTAGGCAGTGTTGGAGAAAAACCAAGACATAATTATCCATGGACTGAAGTTTTTAGAAAATACACAGGAACATCCCCTTACATATGCTTGTGTATACAGAGACAGGGAAGGAAAGCAAAATTATGGCTATAGGCATCTATGTTTCTATAGAATAGGCAGATAATTTTAACTGGTTTTTTTTTATTTAAATAAGTGGGACATATATTGCTTTGGTATCAGAGACATTTCTGAATATAGTGTCAGTTATGCACGCCTATAAAAACTGGATTATACTGAAGCAATAGAAACACTGGGTAATATCATAATTGTTAATTCGTCATGATAGCTTTGCAAAAAAACAATTTTTGTTGTAACTGAGCGTACATGATAATCATGTCACCCATAAAGTATTAAAAAAAAAGTGAAATATTTCTTTCACAATGATATATAATTGTCCTATTTTGGGCTAGTATAGAATTAGTTCTGTTCAATATTTTACTTTTCAGCTAGGTAACTTCATTTTCTGAAGGTAATGGCATATTTTTTCAAACAGTGTCTGCTTTTAGCAGTGATAGGACTTGATATTACAGTTACTACCAAGGATTGGTATGCAGAAAGGCTCTTGTTTATACTTGCTCCTATAGGAACCAAGGTCACTGTTAAATACTGTGTACCACGTTGGTGTGCCATAAAGTGAAAGGCCATACCTGTAGGGAGGAGTGGACAGAACAGGTGACCCTAAACTGACCAACAAGGTATTCCATTCCATACACGTCATATTCAGAGTAAAGCTGAGGGATCACAAGGGTCAAGCTCTCTTCTTCAATGGCCAGCATCTGAGGAGGACTCTGTCTGTTTTGCTTTTGATCCCAATCTGTGTGTTACGGAATCCACCTCCAGAATTTAGCTCCTGAACCTGGTTCTCACCTCCCACTGAGTCCAGCCTGGGACTTCCCCAGTGCCTGCCCCTCAGCATTGGTGGTGAAGGTGACATAATTGCTGTTGGGGCAGGTGTTGGTGGTGTTGATATTGGCTTTGTTCATATTTGTATATATTTAATTTTATTATTATTTTTATTAAAGCAGTTTTAGTTTTATTTTCCAGACCATAAATCTCTCTTATTCCCTTTTCTTTCCCCTTTTGGAAGGGAGGGGGGCTAATAGAAGAGTATCAGTCATTTGTTTAGTGGCCAGTCCAGCACCAACCCTTGGCAATAACTCTGGCAGTACGGATTTTTTTTTTTCCAAAGGAATTTGTTGTATCTTTGACTTCCCTCCAGCTTGAAGACTTGAGAATTGTAGTGTCACAGTGGGATCAGAATAAAATGGTCCCTGAATATCAGATTAAGACATTAAAAATCCAAGATAAAAACATTAAAAAAAACAAGGTTATTTGTTCTTCAACATCTGCTTTTGGGATATGAATATGTTAGTTCAGTTCTTTAGCCCTCTAAAGACTCATTAGTTAAAAACAACCATACAAGAATACTGTTCTCCCCTTGCTTCCACTGCATCTATGGATAGCATTAAAATGAGACCATAAAGGAAAAATAATGTTTCTCATTTAAGTTAATGCCAATACTGAAGTTAACGACAACAGAGCCTGGAGTCAGGATTTTGCTGATAAGAGCAAAAAGAAAACGTATCACCAGAAAATCCAACTTCTGATTTAATCGTATATATTATAAATAGGGCATGAATATTAAAAAAACGTTGTGAATGAGCTGTTTCTCTGCCAGAGTCATTAATATTGGGAGACCAGCTGAAGTAAAAGATAAGAAGCAACTCAGCATTTGGAAACACTTTCATGTGCTTTATTCACCATTGTTCAATGTCAAGAATAGTGGGTTGCCAAACTTTCATCAACCTGACAGCTGCCAAAATTTTCCTGCTGGAGGTGCAAACCCATGTAAATGGAATATAAACCCATTCACACAAAAGGCTCCTTTCCTTCAACACCTTTTGCAGATTTTTTAGAAACATTGAACATACTCCAGGGATTTACAAATCATAGCTTGAAAGCCACTGAAGTAGAAGTTCCAGTGTTTGAAATTCCTGTGTAGAAAGTGATCTGAAAACACATCTTGTTTTTTTTCTGAGATATGGAGTCCCAACTCACACAGACTCTCTTTCACAGCTTGGTTATGCACAGAGTCCACTCTTGACCTCTGGGATTAACAGAAAAGCTTTTAGCCTGGGCAGCACTGGTTTATGGTCTAGACATGCCAAAAAAAAAAAATCCAAAGAGGATAGGGCTTGGATGCATAAAAATATTAAACATGAAGATAAGCTGTAACTGCTTTTTACATTCCTTCAGTGTGTAAATATCTAGCATTTCTGCTTAGTAAGCTGAGGAAATCTAAACACAATGGCATATATGCGTAAATATTTATGTCAAATTTCATACATACCAAAAGCCCATACATCTGACTTGCTGCTAAATTTGGTGTAATGAAAAACTTCCGGTACTGACCACTTCACTGGAAATTTGGTTCCCAATGAATTTATATACAGGTCATCCAGAACATACCTACAAGGCAAGAACCAAACTTGGTTGGGAACAACTTACAGTGAAACACTATTTACTGCTTCTTCTGTGTACATCACAAGGTTCCTTAAAAAAGCCCTGGCAGAACTCCAAATTTCTGAGTGGTACCTGATAGGAGCTTTAGCTATAATCTATAGAACAGATCATTGCTATCAACTCCCTATAAAACCAGTGCAGAATCATAGAAGTGCCTGTTGTAAGGCACCTGGCCCAGCCTCCTGCTCAAATAGGATTACTCCAAACATTCCCTGAAGACATTCAAGGTCAGGCCTGATAGGGCCCTGAGCAACCTGACCTAGTTATAGATGTCCCTGCTTATTGTAGGGGGGTTGGACTATATGGCCTTTAGAGATCCCTTCCAACCCAATACATTCTATGATTCTGTGATTAGGTCAGGTCAGCCATGGCTCTGTGTGGCCAAGTTTTAAAAGCCTCCAAAGATTGCAATCTCATAGTCTCCCTGACTAGCATGTTTCCGTACTCCACCACCCTCCTGGGGAAATAACTTCTCTTACTATCCAGCTTGAACTTCCAAAGCTACAGTATGTGGCCAATGTCCACTGTCACATCACCTGGCAGTGATAAGACTTATTTGGCTCCATCAGCTTTGTAATTCTAAGTACCTATAGGCAGCTTTTAGATCCCCTCTTGGCCTCCTCTTCACCAGCCTAAGCAGCCTGGTCCCTCTACCTTTCCTCAGAGGACATATTCTCTCGGTTGCTCATCCTCTCCAGCTTCTCTCCATTGAGGCTGCTGATTAAGATATTTGGCCCCCAAATGAGGTGAAAATCTTGTACACCAAGTGAACTCTGAGATTTCTTTAACAAACATGACTAGTGAAATCTCTCAGCTGTATTTGGCCTTCAACCTTTTGAGACAGCAGAATGAGTTCACTCTAATCCCGTAATGGTTTATGGTCATGTATTTGGTTTGCGTGTCAAGGTTCTGGTACTGGGGGTGATACAAGAGAAGTTTCTGCAAGAAGCTGATAGAAGCTTCTCCTATGTCAAATAGAGCAAATGCCAGCCAGCTCCAAGTCAGACCTGCCGCCACCCAAGGCCAAGCCCATCAGCAATGGTGGTAGCACCTCTGTGATAATATATTTGAGAAGTGGGGGAAAAAACCCTCCACATTTTTCAGCTGGAGAGGGGACTGAGAATATGTGAAAGAAACAACTCTTCGGACACCAAGGTCAGTGGAGAAGGAGGGCGAGGAGGTAGGTGCTCTTCTCCCCAAAGGAGAAGAGGCTCCCCTGCAGCTCACATAGGTTAATGGTGGAACAGATATCCACCTGCAGCCCATGGAGGACCCTACACTTGATCAAGTGGATGTGCAAAGGAGGGTGTGGCCCTGTGGGAAGCCTGTGCTAGAGCAAGTTCCTTGCAGGGCCTGTGGACCCATGGAGAAAGAAGCCCATGCTGGAGCACTGTTGCTGGCAGGACTTGTGACCCCATGAAAGAGAATGCTGATGCAGTTCCTGAAGAACTGAAGCCTATGGGAAAGACTCACATTGGAGAAGTCTGTGGAGGACTGTATCCTGTGAGTGGGATCCTATGCTGGAGCAGGGGAGGAGTGTGAGGAGTTCTCCTCCTGAGGAGGAAGGAATGGCAGAAACAGTATATGATGAACTGACTGCAACCCCCATTCCCCATCCCCATGTTCTGTGTGGGGAGGAGGTAGAGAAAGTCAGGAGCAAAGTTAAGCCTGGGAAGAAGGGAAGGGTGGAGGAAAAGTGTTTAACATTTGGTTTTATTTCCCATTATCTTACTCTAATTTGATTGCTAATAAATTAAGTTCATTTCCCCAAATCGAGTCTCTTTTGCCACAGTAATTGGTGTGATCTCTCCCTGTTCTTATCTCCACCTCTAAGCCTTTCATTGTATCTTCTCTCCTCTGTCCAGCTGAGGAGGGGGAGTGATAGTGCAGCTTTGGTGGGCACCTGGTGTCCAGCAAGGTTCATTGATGGAAACGAGATACAAAGACTTGTATCACACCTTGTGGCTTAAGTTTCCTAACAGCCAGTTGCTAGCTGACCAATGGCAGTGAACTATATATACACTAACATCATAACTTCACAAGACTGCCAGTTCTTTTACTTACCTAGTCATCCCAAAGTTAGATACTTTCACAGTAAGATTGTTGTCAACTAAACAGTTCCTAGCAGCCTTTAACAGATAAATGAGAAAAGAGATGAGTGAAAAAATTACGAAGAGGAGAAAAATAACATCTTGTCCTGGTAATTTGCTAATAATAATTTCTGAACTTTGGCATTTCAATGAATAATGTCATTCTTTGATTGAAGCAATTTCTGATTGAAGGAGCTAAGTTTGGAACTGTAAGAGAACTATAAGTAGCTCTTTTTTTTTTTTCACTTTTTGACTATTGATGAAAAACATTCTTTCCCATTATCCCAGTACTACTAAGGACATTAAGGGATGAGGAAACTGGTGAGAAACACACATTCACCTAAAAAAACAGCAACTGAGATAGAAAATAAACTGTTTTTCAGTGTGTTTTCAGTAGTCTCAGAATTTATCAAGGCATCAAAGACTGAAAAACATTGATTGGATTATTCACAATGCACTATAAGCAAAGTGGAGCAATGAAAGGTGGTTTAAACAGTTTGATTTATGAAAAGTTCAATATCAGCCTAGTTTTGCAAATGATCTACATTTATTGAGAACATTTATCTAAAGTTATATTCTCTGCCTGCATGCTTATTAACCTCTGCGATATAGTCTGCATCTACAGTTTTCAACCTGAGATCAAGCTACAGTTTAATTTCTCTTTTCCCACGGTGTGCAGCCAGTTTTGGGGAAACTGACTTTATATTTACAACTTGAATTCTGCTACGTAAGTTGCCTGATAATTCTGATTTCTGAATCAGGGTGTGAAAATTGGTGAGGTGTGGATTTAGCAACTTTTTACATATAGACAATTGTTTGAAAGCATGAACAAAACATTTAAAATGTTGCTTGAGGAGACTGCACCCCTACTGAAAAGCTAAGCAAGTGTATAACATATATTGTCACAAAACATATTTTCATCTAAAGTTAGAAGGCAAAATACTGCTGCTTGCTCTGAAACATAACGCACCAGAAATTTGGCTAGGTTCACTTTTAATAGGCCAATAAGTAACAGCTTATTTTCCCAAAGCCAGCATCACTGAAAGTGGAGTTTTGCATAAACTTTCAGTTTAAGTCCTTGAAAGGCCTGATCCCCTCATCAAAAGCAGCTTGAAATACTTGCTTGAAAATCAGCAGATAAATGTATTTAAGAGAGCTAGACTGCAGACTTTCAAGTTCTGCTCCTGCTTGCAATGCACCAGAGTAAATTCCAGGTCATCCTAGTAGTGTTCACACTTGTTTTATAACAGAAGTAGTTCCTAAATAGATAAATCCCTGACTCATCAAAAAACAATCTAAGGGACCCAAATCTTTAATGTTGCACCACTTTCTACCAGAGAACTACAGCATCATTGGACAGAACCCTTTGTTTCAGTGGACTGGTTCTATAATCGGATGTCTGTGCTGCCAAATGGTGCATAAATCCTTGAGTCTAGAGTCCATAAATGCAGGCAGCACAGTGTGCAGTGCTGTAGACACATTAGCTCAGCTCTGAAGCAGAGCATATTAGTTTGTGGGCAGTGCTGTTTATGTGTGGCTTTAGTGCTGCTCGCCCAGAGCTGCCTTGTACTGAGCCAGCTAGATGTCTCTGTTCAGCAGACCACAAGGTTTTTTTGGGATGAGTGCCAACAGAGCCCGTGCAGCTGTGGCTGATCCTGAGGGGTAGGACTGCCTCGTGTTAGGTCATTCCCCTACCTTCCCTGTGTCACTTTCTCCCATAGCATAGCTTACCAAATCTCTGTGTATGAACTGACAGCTCTCCAGAAATGTCATAGCATCACAAACATCATAACATATTTCCAGAAGCTGCAGGGGTTGTAGTTCCTTGCCATGGCTCCTTAAGTAGCTAAGCAAACATCCATAAGGCATATATTCCATCACTAGGTAGATGGGATATGATTTTGAGCATATACCGTACAGTCTAACAAGTTTGGGATGATTAAGTTTCCTGAAATAAATACAAACAAAATAAGCAAAGAATAAATGGAGGTTCTTGTGCATTTCTGTAAGCTTTGTTCTTCAAATATTAACACAACATACTGAAAGAAATTATTGAAACTATATACAGTCTCATCGCAGACTTCAGATGTTCCTTTTCAAGAATAACTGAGTGTCCTTCTGCTGATTACTTTAAAACTCAGTATTGATGACAATCAAAAGAAGACAGTATCAATAAAATGACAACTTCAAGCCTCATGTTCATATTTCTGGCATTTCTCAGTTATTGATCTGTCTCTCGTTACTACCTGCAGGGTGGCTGGAACAGCTTTCTAATCATTTCCGTATAAATGCTAATGAAGCAGAGTTTTAAGTGACTTATGTGGCACCTCTGAAGTTGTGGAAGACATATTAACTGAAACCTTTGTAGATGCCCATATCAATCGTTGTGAAGTTCTTTTGACAATACTTTGAGTATTCTAACTGGTTACCTATTTAACCTGGACCTAATGTACTCAAAGCTACTTAATGCCATTTTTAAGTGCAAATTCTCTTTCCTGTGTGTGCTATACATTACTGATTAGTGTTTGGAGATGTCATTATTTCTACAGAATAAAGTAACGCAACAGCTTACATCATGGTCTGAGCTTCTTCTATGAATATACCTTCTGACGTTGCTCCCTCTTTAATCATCTTTATGCACACGTTGTATTGTCCCTTCCACTTTCCTTGATGCACCACTCCAAACTGACCACTCCCCAGCTCTCTCAACAGGACAATTTCTTCTCGCTTCATTTCCCAGGTTCCTAGTGGGACAAAAGAAACTCCCTTAGCAAACATAAAATGGAAAAATGCAAGTGTGGTAAATCCCCCACATGCAATGCTGTGGTTTTCTCTGGTGGGTTGCAGAACCATGCAGCACTGAAGCAACATATCCGTCTCACGGCATTATGTTTGAATTATGGGAGAAGACTACACTTCCTGCAAGTGTTGTTTGCTATTGTTTAGGTTTAAGCCTTATAAATAGATTTGAGAAAGATTTATGCATCAAACAATATATTTTCATTTAGGAGACTGCAGAACAACTGTTGCCATGCCAGGAAATGTGGAAAAGAAAAAGAATGGCTATGAATCAGATGTGCTGGGGAAGGAAACATGCAAGGTCTTGCACAGTTCATGTAAGGACTGACATAAAATGCCTTTAAAAGGTCACAATACAAAATGCCTTTGCATACATATTGCCCTGGGTGTAGACTGGATACACGTGTAGGAAGGGATATCTTATTTCATCATGGAAGCATAAAGTCTCAATGCTACACTGCACAAAAAGAAATTACAGAAGGAGCTATTGACTGAAAAACCATCCTTCCCAAATTCTTACATTGCCTTCTCTATGGACAAGCAGACATGGCCACCAAACGAAGATTCTGTAACCTTCTGCAAGCCTGAAAGCAGTAAGACTCATGATTTTCTGGTTATTTTTTTCTTGGTGGACAAGTCTGACACCAGTTTCAAAAAGGGAAGATAACTTCATACCGTTTCCTAATGAAGCTGTGAATGGGACTTTACTTACTTGTGTAGACACTGAATGCTGGAGCCTTGTCACCATACCTACAAAGAAAACCTGTTAAAGGTCACTATATATATATATACACACACATAT